TTTTTGTTTTCTTTGTTCCTGCTTTCAGACAATTTTATTCCAGGCATTCCCTGGCTCGCTTGGCAGGCCGGGTACCAAACGAAAGTTCATTACACCCCTTCCTGGTGAGTCACTTGTTCTGCTTAACTGTACTATACTTAAATTTATTTATTTTTTGCTAAGATTTTGCTCTAGAATGTGATTTCCAATATAAAAAAGATAAATGTAGAGAGATGAGGTAATAAATTTTGATTTCGATCCTTTTTTTCCAGATTCGCTAACAACACGCATGAATGTTGGTGAAACGATATTCAGAAGAATGGAACAAGTCAACTTTTTTCTTAAGGTTAGTTTCTTAGCTATTCGTGGATAGATAGGCTAAAATGCAATACAATTGCGATAGACTAAAATTCAATAAGACGGAATGAAAATACTAAAATCACTTCATACCAATGCAGGAGTCGATCGGCTTGAGTTTTATAAACTTCACCACGCAATCCTAATTCTTAGATTTGGTGGACGAAAGCGATTTGAGCAAGAGAACACGCTCTCGAGGGATTTGCGCTCCATCTGTGGTTCTTCCTTTTGGCGTATTTTCACATCGACAAAAGTTAACAGCCCGTAAATTGTTTAGGATATTATAGCTCAAGGAATAATCTCGACTGCTGCAGCTGTGTCTTTTGTTAGCATTCTAGAGCAGAACAATACCATTTAGCGATTCTCTCTTTACAGGAAATTTTGTCTCTTGAGCACAAGGTTTCACAGTCACAACACATCAGGCGGTTTTTGACTCCAACGCAAGAGGACTTAGAACCGTTACAAGTGCCAAAGTAAGAGCAAAACACAACACAACTTATCATATTATAAATACGTCTTGGTGATCCACGATATGGTATTACCATTTTTTACTAACATAAGAGTAACCAGAAAATATTTCCATAACTAAAACCAGTTGGTTCTCTATCCTGCTCGAAATGGAATTTGGAGTTGTTGGTTTTTGTTTTGGAGGGAGGAAAACCGGAGAACCAAAAGAAAAAGCCTCAGAGCAAGGCGAAGAACCAACAGCAAACTCGGCCCGACCGGCCCACATTGCGCCAACCCTGCTCCCCAGAACAATTTGTTTTACAACATGGCAACTAAATTTACGGAATCATTAGTTCAGGGAGAAGGTCACATAATCCCATAGTTAGCTCGAAATTATCCGGCAATAACTAACGCCGTTTCTTGAGCGTTGAATAAGACAACCTGGGGACTTTCAAACGATAACATCGAAATTTTCGATATCGTTCGAAATGTTGTGAAGTCCTGTCTTTGGGTAAATTTCTTCTTGAGACTGACGATTTTAAACTTGAACTACTGATGGCATAATAAGCAACTAACTTAACTTGGTAAAATGCAGGAAACTAAAGATTAAATTTTCCACTCAGGAGGGTACGATTTAAGAAGAGAAATGGCAGACGAAGAAGTAGTAACTTTACACAGACGGTGAGAAAGCTGAAGTTTGGAAAGACCAGAGTATGTAAGTAATGGCGAGACGTTGCTGCTAATTAGAATCACATCATACTTCGCAATCGAAGTTCTACATTTTGCTACAATGATGTGGGTCAATGCACTTGTAAGTAAATGGACTGTTCCGATTTTTTATATACTGCGTATTAGCAAAATAGAATTTATATAAAGTCTCTTAAATTATCAAAACTAGTTAATACTCTAGAAACTTTACACCGAGTGACAGATATTCAGAGGTTTTCTTAATTTAACTTACTTAAATTTATTCTCTTTTATAGTTGGTAACAAGATAAGTTCACCAATAGTACTAGAGCACTTTGTGGTTATGGACGATTACAACAAGCAGGCAAAGAGTGATATTAACTTGAAGAAAGGGCGAACTGTTGACGTTATCGAAAAGAGAGAATGCGGTAAGTGTAAAAAGATTAAGTTTGACCTCAAAACGGTTTCCTGTTGCTAGGCAATGCCGATTATTTAGAGACAAACTTCGCAAATTGAAGAGGAATACACTTTGAACTGAAACTGCGTTTAGAAAATCGACACCCTCACCCGAGTTAAACGAGTAAAACGTTCGTCTGTTTTTGCGCGTTTAATCCTTTTCCCGCACAAGAGGTGTCTAAGATTCGACCCAGAAACTTCCAAACTGATGACGGTTACAACTATAAACGATAACAACTAATTGGGGATGCTATCGAAACATTTCATGACGTGCCTAACTAGAACCATATTACAGGTTGGTGGCTGGTTGAGTGTGACGGGGAAGTGGGCTGGGCTCCAGCTTTGTATCTTGAGCCCGCTGACGAGATGGCAGATGCTTCTAATGCACAGAAATTCGCTGTTGGTAGAGGTAGGATTGTAAACTTTCCTTTGTTTGAATTACGTATACCAGCCGGTTTTAAGCTATGGTTAACAACTGTTGGGTTTCGACGCCATGATTATCATGTCCATTGCTAATTATTGTTCTGTTATGCAGGTGAGATCTATGTCACATCTAAACGTTACGTTGCTGTTGAGGGAGACGAATTGAGCTTTGAAATCGGAGTCAACCTGCAGATTTTGGAAAAAAACTATGATGGATGGTGGAAAGCCTCGTGAGTATCTGAAGTTATGTGATCTAAAGTAAAGATCGCTATGATATGATATCAAATTGCACACATCGATTGCAAAAATTATCTTTACAAGTCATATTTGTGTTATTACCCCCAAAATGGTCAGGTTATGCTTAAGATTGATAACATAAGCTTTTAATTTTCTATGCAAATGTGTAGTAAGTGTCTAAAGTGAATAAAGCGTTGCTGTTGGGATTCACTGAACAGCTTACATGGACTACTCATTCATGTAAGGTTTCATCTTCACACACTCCAACTGTTTTAATGTAGTACCAGACTACTTCATCTGGGGCTGATACTGTAAAAGGGTAAATAAGGAAAATCTCGAGTGATGATTACATCATCATGACGACGACGAAAATGATGATGATGATGATGATGATGATGATGATGACGATCTTGTTAGCGGTGACCACGGGTCAAAGGTGTAAGTCTCATTCCAACCGTCTATGGTCATAAGGCGGGATACCTCTTAAACTGCCTTGTTCGCTTTTGTGTCAATTTTCCGCCACGTTTTTGGCTAATTATGATTTTTAATTTTGCGCTCAGATATCTTGGGAAAGAAGGCTTGGTACCTGCTATGTACTTGAAAAAGTTGGGAAATGATAGAAGGAAATCATTGGGAGGAAGAAGGAAATCAAGACTTTTTTCTTCAAATGAACTCAGGGGGGAAAGTGACGATGACGATGATGTTATTCCAGGTAAGAAGCGAGGCAGTTACTGCGTTGTTTGGTATTGCTAGAAATGACGCACTTATTACATCATAAAGAGACTTAAGCCAAAACTATTCTAATCTTGCTACAAAATCGACAAAAATTAAATTGCTGTAAGACCTCAAGTGGGCTAAACTTATGAAAGTACTAATGACTGGTAAAACCTCGAGTGGAGACTGAGAGGGAATGCTGGACCCCTTAAGATATCACTAAAAAAGATATATACAAAGAGCTGCAGGAACGTAAATTACAGCAAAAACCATTTCATCGAAATATTTCACGTACAAAGAAATGTTTTCATCTCTGATCGATCCAATTACTACCTTAATGGGTAGAAATAGGAACTTTCTGTCCTGAACTCCCAAAGTGGCACCAAAATCTAGGAATTAAACCCCAAGAAAGGCTAAACACGTTCCAGTCCGTTTCATGTTGGCGACCTCCCCAGAGATACAAGAGACCGTCCAAGGGATTTTGCTGTATTCATGACCTGAGTGTAGATTGTCTGACAGATCAATCACCTAAATCACGAACTGATCTTGATCTTATAGTGTTTTTTAAACATATAATGACCTTTTGTCTCAAGGTTTGTAACTGCAAGTCGTCATATCCTAATTTAAAATATCTACACCTCGGCGAGCTGTTTCTGCCAGCTACCTCCGACAACCACTTATGGAGTTCCCTAGAATTCTATCAACTATTTCTCATTATTAAAGAAAATAAAATGATAATTTATGTTTATTCTTACAGAAATACCTGAAGAAGAGAAAGACGAAAATAACAAGGTGAGACTGCTGGCTGACTAAATATTTGGATAGGGCCAATAACAAAATTTAAATGTTATAAAATTTAAATGTTAGTTACATGATGGAAGCTACCTAATTATTTTACTTCAAATGGGAGAAAATCTAATACACTTACATGTATGGTGGTTAATCGGAGTGTCCTGGTGTTGTATTCAAAACTAGTAACATTTTCAATTTTTTTTAGGATCGGAAGACGTCTATGCCGAAAACGATTTCGCAACAAATGATGTCAGTAATCGGTAGAAAGACCTCCAAAGAGGCGGAGACTTCCAAAGATGCTGTAGATGGTGGCAGCGACAGTATATCTAAAGGTGACCGTAGAACTATAGACACAATGGTTGAAATGAGTACCGAGTTCTTACAGTTGCGAAAGAAAAACTCGAATCCAAAGCCGGACCCAGGAATCCCAGAAAAATCCCAAACGCTACCAGCAACGAGGAGCCCAAGACNCATGTATGGTGGTTAATCGGAGTGTCCTGGTGTTGTATTCAAAACTAGTAACATTTTCAATTTTTTTTAGGATCGGAAGACGTCTATGCCGAAAAAGATTTCACAACAAATGATGTCAGCAATCGGTAGAAAGACCTCCAAAGAGGCGGAGACTTTCCAAGATGCTGTAGATGGTGGCAGCGACAGTATATCCAAAGGTGACCGTAGAACTATAGACACAATGGTTGAAATGAGTACCGAGTTCTTACAGTTGCGAAAGAAAGACTCGAATCCAAAGCCGGACCCAGGAATCCCAGAAAAATCCCAAACGCTTCCAGCAACGAGGAGCCCAAGACCCACCCTACAGCGTAAAGCCATCAGCACACTGGCGGCTTATTCCTTTGGTCTTGGATCATCAGGAGAGGGCGTTAAAGAAGGTTCTAAGGACGACATGTCCCTGGGGATTCCACGAAGTCGAAGTATGGATTCAGTGCCTACCTCCCATTTGAAGCAGAACGTCAACAAGCAGTTGGATTCAAAATGGAAGCCTGAAACCAAGAATGCGTTATCGTCATCGCTCAAATGCGTCAATGAGATTCCTGAACCAGATCGAGATAAAGGCGAAAACGATAAAACAGATTCAGGCCCTCAGTCAACAAACGTGCTCAACGATCTTTCCCTCACCAACTCAAATTCGACTTCAGAGAACGAGAAGGACTCCGTTAGTTTGAAAAACGAAGGAGATAATGACTTAAATGACATAGACACATGTGACATAAGATCCGAAAGCACTTCATCTACAGAGCTTACCCAAAGTCCAGAAGTGTGCGAGCAGCCAATTGACCTATCGAGGTATTTTCAGACAATTTCACTGGGTGGCGACTCACCCCGACTTCATTCACCAAACAGAGTCCCTCCTGTACCTTCCTTGATACCTCAGAGCTTACATAGTGACCCACCGAGGTCTCCAGCGCCTAGCAGAATTGCTCCCGTGCCCAGTGGTATCAGTACTTTTCCCAAAAGAGCAGATGCCGCATTCAAACCACAGGGAACCCACAGAAATCCGCAGTCAATCGACCGAAAAATTATCCGGCAGGCATCGTTTGAAAAAGAAACAGCTGTGGAGCTTAATGAAGAAATTCAATATTGGAGCTCAAGTGAAGAATCAGAACCTGAGTTGTTGCAGTTGTCTGTTAACAGCAAAGGTTCGCCCGCTATCGTGGTTGATAACGCAGAGGAGAGTTCTACAGAAGAGGAAGAAGAAGAGGAAGAAGAAGAAGAAGAAGAGGAAGAGGAAGAAGAAGAAGAGGGAGAGGAAGAAATGGATAAGCATCCCAATGGAACCCAAGATCTCAATCTTAAAAGTAGCATCAACTCTACTGAAAGCCTAAAAATTCAGATAGGAACCCCGTCAATTGAAGATGAAAACTCCAATGACATCTATTGCGCATTTGAAGCGTGTGAAATTGACAGCGAAATGAACCTATCCAAAGGTGACTACGTGCAAGTTTTAGAGAAAGCATCAACCGGATGGTGGCTGGTAAAGAACGAGGCAGGTCTGAAAGGTTGGGCCCCGTCTAACTTTCTTTGCCCTGCGCCCCAAGCCCATGGGAATACAGAATGCCCTGTCTTACCAGAGGAAGGAGTATGTGTCATCGAGAAGGAGTGTAAGCCCCAGATGTCATGCCGTGTTATTGAGGATTACAAGGGTGATCCATACAACCAAGAAATAGATCTCCGCAAGGGAGAGTTTGCGCATATTTTGCACAAGAGCGAAAGCGGATGGTGGTGTGTACAGGATGAAGACGGGGAGATAGGATGGGCTCCTTCAAACTACCTGGAAGTGTTCGAAGATGAGAATGCTCATAAATACGTAAATCATGTTGGACATTGAACTGTGCGTTCGTCAGCGTCATACAGAACAATACTGCTGGGGCAAGCAGTGTCATGCTTTAAGAGGACAACTAGACTTGCTGAGAGACTGATAAACTATAACCACGATGTTTGACAGAAAGTAAATAATAGTTGCGCTTTGCTTTAATTTACTGATTCGAAATGTTCTCGAGGAGCAATTGCACCATACATTAAGTACGTTTTCTGCGTGCTACTTTGTCTTCAGACCAAAAACATGTCGCGGAAAATAATGGAGACGAAAAAAGAAGTGAAGGAGTCAGAAAAGTGCTACGAAAATAAATATAAACCTAAAATGAAAGAGTATGATTTAGGCTGGGGGAGACTGGGGGAGACCAGTAAGTCGGATTAAGTAGGCGGCAAGTTTAGAAAGCATCAACAACCAAAACAAAACTAGAATGTTTGAAGACTCGCCATTCATGACGTCACCAAGCTCTTTTTTAATCTCAGAGTGTTTCGTCGCAATTAGCACGGACATCTGCATTAAATCTTGTGAAATCTATCAATTCAAGGCAATGAGTTTCTAGCGCATGGACATTTTTACCGATGCCACACAATATAAACAATTTTTCGTATTTTTCAAATAAGCCAAAAACCACCTTCATAGTTCAATTTATCATGCCCAATTTACAAAAGACACGAAGTTTGATAAGAATTCGTTGCAAATTTACAAAAATATGGGACGCCAAACTTACAAAGAAATGTATGCCAAGGGGCAACACGTGCCCCGTGGCACACCTTTCTTTTCTTTTTCTTGATAAATCGAGTGGTGTAGTTTATTTTCTGAATGAAAATAAAAAAAGCGGAGAAAAATGACATCGGTAATAAGGTCCATTGCTTTTCTACAACAGTCTGTGAACAGGCTCGTCGCTCATCAATGCTTAACATTAGATATACAAGTTATGAGGTAGCACGAAACAGGCCGAGTGCTAGTTATCAGTAGGTTTTGGCAAATATTCACTGACTAACATTAGATGTTACGAAGTACCAAGCAAGGGATATGCCACCTTCTAAAACTTTTATACAACATTAATACTACCATAATGGTACTCAGTACAGTGGCTGTGCCATCTTTGGGTATTCGCTAACCAATAACCCTGGATTTAAAAATTCACCCCTTTTTTCCACTTCGTTTGGAAAACTATATAAATTCAAGGGGCATTTCAAGGAGTTTACAACATAAACAAACGTTTTTTTAGAAGAGACAATCAACTTGATTGTCGACTAATGCCGTTTTTATGCTTATTAAAGTTTTCGAGGGATGAAATAAGGTTTTGTGACATTTGCAGTTAATTGAAGAGTGAGGAAAAATAGCGGCTTATAAAACATTTATAGTTGCAGGGCAGTTATTTTTTTAATATTTAAACAAGTTGCTAACTTTGCAACTTTTGACCTGATAGCATTGAACTAAGAAAATTGAAAATGGAACGGAATTTCGTTGGACAGTACTTAAACATATGAAAAACTAAAAGGAAGAAAGTAGAAATTAAAAGGTCATTTTGGAGTGAAGTTATTAGCAAAAGAACAAGAATTAGTTGTAGCCTTCAGGGTCGGGTTGTTCAAAACCCGATAAAGCTAAACCAGCATTGGCGAGAATTTTGATTTGAGTTTTGCAACTTGTTGACAGTTTATATTTTTTGTCTATTTGTTTTGAGTTTGAATAATCTCAAACTACACAAGCCATTAGCAGTGAAAAACATTTTTGTACAAGAAAAGTTAATACTTTAGTTATCCTGGGTTAGCGTTAACCGACTTTCGAACAACCCGGCCCAGATTTCTTTCTAGTTTTCCGCTAGTCTTACAGTTTTAATTGTAACAGATTTTGTTTTAACATTTTAAGCCCTTTTGTAGACTCTGGAGAACTATAACCTTTTCTACAAGTCTGGAATTGACTAAGAGAAAGCAACAATATACTCTTGCAAGGAAATTTGAGGTTTCTTTATTGCATTTATAGCTGTTATAAAGAATTGAAGCATATATAGTATAAGTAAATGTAACCTTAAATTGATAAAGATAATAGAACCTTTATGTTTTCAGTACAATCAACAATAAAGGTCATTTATTCTCTATAACCTAAGCTTTGATATGATCTTTTTCTGTATTTACGACTTATAAGTGAATATTTTTACCCATAATTACTTTACAATAACGTACATTTTACAAATGTAACCGATTTTCAAAAAGGAAACAATTTCTTTTTCATTTTTCATTTTCGAAACTTGCTGTTGCTCTGCTGTTTTTACGACCGTTTGTAACCGATTTTCTAAGGAAATCATGCGCGTTGCTGGTTGTTTTCTATGTTCAAGGAACGCAAGCTTTGCAAGCCAAGGCAAAATAGTAATGAAAGTCAACCCCCCCCAGTCCCCAACATTTACACCATGCTCTACTTGTATGTAACTCATCTAACTGGAATACCCAGATAAAGGAAATTTTTGGAACATTTTATTGCCCTGCAGTCACTGTATATAGCTCTGACAACTACCGATCGCGATTTTTTCTCAAGGCCTTTGGTCATGTCAATCGGCTAAGATATCATCTTTAACGTATGGATAATTGAAGGCAAACAAATTTATAACAATGGATACTATGTTTTAACAATATACAGCTAGGATAATATAATGTTAAACCGTATTTTATCTAGCAAATTGGCATTTTTTATAACTTTTTCTTAAGTTAAATCTGCATCGGATTTAAATACTTCACAATTTATGGTGCAAAGAAAGATCTCTCCAAAGACGTTACAAACAAGTGGTATTGTCATAGACTAAAAGAGAAATTCAGAGCTTAAACTTGAGAAAAGTTGAAATTTCCTTGCAGCACAGCTCAGGAAAAACTGCCTTCTGTTCGAAATTAAAAGCCTTATTTCCTCCGTGTAACAAGCAGTTTAAGTACAACTTGTACAGCACAACCTGGCGTTTTACACCCAGTACCGACAAGTTAAAAGTTTTATGTGTATCGGAAAGTTCTGAGACTTCCTTTCTGTTAGCTTCTCTGTTTCCTTTAATAAAAAGACAGATATGCAAAATCTAGTATACCAGAGACTGTAGAAAATTAGAAGGTCCCCATCCAAGTTCCTCTGATGTTCGTACGAGCCACCAGCCATTCTCGCTTTTCTGGATCACTTCTACTTCATCTCCCTCATTGAAGGTAACTTCACCATCGTCTTGAGAGATGTAAGTGTGCATTGCTCTGTACAGCCTCGAGTTAGCGATATTTTCCTCGTTCTCTATCTCCGAACTGGATTCTCTGGGAGACATCTTAGAGGGGGATATAGATCCAGAATCGCGACCTTTTGGAGGTGAACCTGCCAATGGGCTCCTTCTGTTTGTGGAAATCTTTCTTTTTGAAGGAATAGGGCTGCTTCTGCCCGAACTAGATTTTTTACCTGTCGAGGAGATGCCATTCAAGCTCAACTCCATTTCATTCTTGTAGTGTTCCATAGAGGTGACAGATTTTGAGCGAGGCATCCCTGGAGAGGGTTGCGACACTGGCATGTTGTCTTCAATATTGTCAAACCGAGGAAGTGTTGCACACTTCTTGATGCCATTAGTAGACTGTTCCTCGGCGAAAACATCAGACGACACAAGGGACGAAAGGCTTCCATTTGGAGAGCTTTCATACCCACTACTTGAAATGGAGAATTGACGAGATTGGGATGGGTTGTCCGATTCTCCTTGACTAAACTCGCTGGATCGGGGCCGCCGGGGCGAGGATCTTGGCGAGGACAAACCTTTGGAGCGGGGTGAAAGCTTCCTATTCACGGGCGGGGTATACACTGGCGCTGGTACTGAAATTGATCGGCTGTTTTTCGCGACGGGGTTGTCGCTGGTCTTACTTTCGCCATTTTCTCCCTCTGATATTGCATTAAGTTCAATGGAGTTTCGCTTTGGTTTTTTTCGAATTGTTCTTTGAACCTTTAAATAATAAAAGGAAAGAAAGCCAGATAAGTTTCCAAAATTATGAAGTGGCACACTAAGACGTTAAGGTCAAATGGACTTGCATGTTGAGACATTATTTCCATCATAATCTTTGGTGGCTCACAATGCTTTTTAGTCTTACATCAATAGGGTTCATTAATAACTTTCATCGTAGGTTTGTAGGGTTTCCAGGACATTTCAATTCCCCGTATTTAACAGCCTATTCCAGCTAGGAAGAGCCACTTTGAACTTATGGAAAATAAGGTAACTCTGTATCTTGCCAGCACATGAAGAATTCATTGATTACGATTACATTTCTATTTTCGCAAATAAGGAGTTCAATACCCAAACGTAATGGAACGTTAAGGCACACTGAGAACTTTAACAAATGTAAAAGGGTTAGGATAAGCTCACGAGAACTCACCATGCTTCGCCTTGTAGGAGGTGTGCGTGAGAACCCATTGCTATCGCCATCTTCAGAATCTGCGAAGAGGAAAACAATCATCAGTTTTCAAATAGATCATCCTTCGTGTAACGTTCTTGTTACTACTGAGTACTTTAACGATATCCTGCCAAGAAAAATTGCAGCTCTTGGGAGATTAAAATGAACAAATCCTCTACCTCAAAAGAATAGTTGCAAGCTACTGTGTTACATAGCTGCTATACGAAATTGCAAACAAGGAAATTAAATTTTACATAACGTAAATGGGTGTTGTTTGACTTTGCAAATCAGCTTTTACTCTATTCAAACCAGCGACCCATTTTTACTGATGAGCAGCCTGCTGATCTCTCAAATCATTCGTCCTATACATATGTACAACAATTCGAGGAAGCTCAACCAACATTATGACATGTATTCAGTCAACAGTAGCGTACCTCCATTGAAAGAAACAATATCCAATGTATCCATTTTTCTGGACGTTGAAGTAGAAGACTCATCAGAATCAACTCTTTTTAGGAACATGGCAGGAGCCCAGCCTTCATCTCCTTGATACCTGGTGAAATAATGTTAATAATGTATGAGCATGCGCCCTGTCATCTAAGAAACTTACCATGAAAATTTGACATAAATATAAAAGTTAAAAAGCGCGTTGGAACCTTTAAAAAAATTCTATTCCGACAGTAATAAGAACAACACTAACAAACGACAAGCAAAAGCAAAAATAAACAGACAACAACAAACGCGACAAGCAACAACAGCTGCAACAATATAGATGAAAGTTATCTTAAGCTTTGGATTATTTTGTTTACCTTACAAGCCACCATCCATCTAAAGTCTTCTCCACCACTTTAAGCATAACGTCAGCATCAAAAGACAGCTCATCGTCAGCTTGAGCTTGATAGCTTTTTATGGAGATGTATATCTCCTCTGTTGAATTAAAACAGACAATAAATCATCTCTTCATTCCAGGCAGGTTGGTGGAGGCCTAACTCTGGATTTTGATATGGAGCGACACATTTGGGTGAAAGTAGTTGGACAGTATTTCAAGTACGCTACCAAATATTTTCCTTGAGTTGTTTACTCTGTGATTCCAATTGGCATTATTAAATGGAAGCTCACCTTTTCCAGGTGCAAAGACTTTTGATGTGGTGACTTCCGATCCGTCGTCTGATGGCTCAAGATGAGAAGCTGGAGCCCAACCCAACTCTCCTTCCCGGTCAACAAGCCACCAGCCTTACAGAGAAAAAATAGCACGAGAAATTAAAAAATTGAAGGGAATAATCATTTTTACTAGACAATCAACAAACTAATCCTGGCGATGCAACTCTGAACACATGGAGGAAATTATTAATTCATCGGAGAATATCAATGACCTTCGACAGACTTCTATACGTAAAAGGCACTTAGCCCTTCAAATAATTCAAGAAATGAATACTTTACCATAGTCGTTCCTTTCGATGACGTCAACAAGGTCACCAGCTGTCAGGGAAATATCATTCTTGTTTTTCTTCTGGTAGTCAGCTGTCACTACGTATTGCTCAAACACTACTGGCCCAGAGATCTGCACATTGTCATCATCGTCATCTACAATAAGAATATGAAGATTTATTTTCCATTTTACAAAGAAAGAATTTCAAATAAAAAATATTTGAATACGCCAACAAGTCAGATGAAAAATCAGCTTAGTAGACTTACTCTCTGCAATCTTCCCGTCCGTCTTTGCAGACCTGAGAGCGAAAAAAGAAAATGGAAAAAATGTCATATAAAAAGAGTATTTGAAGAACCATTTTAAAACGACAGTGAAGAATGTGCATAATAATGACAATAAGCCATTTGCAATTTTGCAAAATGAAATCAGATCCTTTTAACAATTCCTTCCTCTTTCATGTAACATATATAGGGACATTCAGAATTAAGTCCATGATCATGAAAAGATTTTTGTTTTAGACAATTTTTATTACTCACTCTCCATGAGGATGGACATCACTGGCACGGGACCTGCAGAAGTCCATAACAACTTTGCTTTTTGAGATGTTGTCAGGTGCATTGATTAGTTCCTGAAAACAAAATAAAAAGACTTAGAGAAACCCATGCCTTGTTACCTTGACAACTTTCTGTGCTGGCGCCTTTTTTTCTTTAATGCACTTCTCTTTAGCAGTTGGACTAAATCTTGCAACAATAACCTCACATCATTATTACTTACGTGGCAAAATTGGTTCATAAACTTCTGGCGCTTGCATTTTCCGTCTTTGAAACAAAACTGACAGTTTTCAGAAAATTTTCGTCCTAGGGAAAAAAATAAATACAAATTTTGAATAACGACTAGGCAGTGTTGATTGCTCTTGAAAGAGAAAGAACTGATAAAATATGATTGAGTGCTATTTTTTGGAACATTTTGTTACCTTTGAGTGCAGGGATTTCCTTTCCAATGGCGGATGGAAATTCCTTTCTGAGGTTTTCCTAAAAAACCAAAACAGAGACTTTCAAAAAACCTTATTTTGTGTAAAGTGCTACAAAAAAACCATCTCCCATGATGACTCTTTACTATGATGATGCACTTGTATTTCAGTCTTTTGTTAAGCTAATGTTGCTTTTTGAACAAACGAACGAACAAAAAATCAAACAAAAAACATACAAACAAAGACAAACAAACTTTTCAGTTTTAAAATTAACTCATTATCTTCTCAAGTTTTAAGTTTGTCCTAAATAAATTGTTGTGTTGTGAATGACGCTCTGCTCAAAGCTTAACTAGCAGTAATAACTGTTTTAATGACTGACCCTGGAGAACTGGTACACCGACTAAGAGGAATCACCTCTTGACAAATTACAAACGACTTATTTATGACATAAACAGAGCCGGACGGACTTCGAACATAATGATCGATGCCTTACTTATAAAATAAGTTCTCCCCGCCCTTATTGACGCCATATGCACGTGCAAATCACACGATCATGACACAACAGATTGCCCTTACGGGTGATTGCTAATAAAGGATGACATTGCAAAATTCGGTACTTGAGATAATGAGACATTTAACCCGCAAACTGGGGAACACATTGAATGCGTTGGGTGGAAACACGCATCGCCGTTATATTGGTCTGTTTTCAGCGAACAAAAGACCGCAATCAACACAAGTGGAATATTTGTTTTTAACTTGTAAAGACCTCATATGTTGCAATATCCTTAATGACTCAGCCTACAATACAATGACGTCAATGTGCGTGACAAAGAAACCGCGCCAATGGAAACTCAATGAGAATTGTTCAATTGGCATTATCTTAATTTTCATGGTTTTTACCTGGAGGAAAAAAAAATCACTGCATGTCCTGTAGATGATGTTAATATTTCCATCTGACCACACCACTTTGAGAATATAAACCTGAAGAAGAGAGAATTAAAAGCACATGTATAAGAAATTGGGCAATTTCTGGCATAAAAACGTTACGTTTAGTCAAGTAACATGTTACGAAATTAACTGATAAATACAATAATTTGAGATACAATAGAGAACCTTGATAGCTGCTATCACGAACACAAAATATGTACTACACACATACACGGGTTGTGTTTTCTTAAGTAGTTCTCTTCTACTTAAATTGTTTCATTTAATTAAGGGCATAAACCAAGACAACTATGATCTTACGAATTTAGTATTTTTTAGAGAAAATGTTTGAAAACTGAAATTTTAGTACCGCCTGTTTTCGAAGTTTCCTGCCAGCTTTTCTCAATGTTCAAATGTAAATTGAAACTTTTCTATCTTAATCATCAATAACTCGTAAAACATAGCGAGAGACAGAACAAAACGACGGGGAATTAAATATATTTCGATATATGAATCAAAACGACTTTTAAATGTCTTCTTTTAAATTATGCTTTATTTTGTTTTATTATTCGCTAAGTAAGAACTTAATTATCAAGTATTTTGAGAATTTTTTTTGGTCTAAGATGTCACTGGTCATGTAAGATATACATCACATTGCAACGAATCGAATCTCAAAAGCCTTTAAGCGATGTCTGAAGTGTTATATTTTGATTAGTCAAGCGAGATCTATCAGTTTACTTACATAGTTTTTATCGGGATTCTTCCTCTTTTGAATTCCTTCTACCGTTAGGAACTTGGGTCGTCGGTTCATTTCGGTTGTTATCGTCTGAGCTCCTCTTGCAACGTCTCGATCCACAGTCTGTGAAAAGGAAAATGGCAGAGTCCGTCTTATATGATGTCGTCTAAGCCTCCTTGATCGATTTAAACCGCAGCCCACTCCATGGAAGGAAATGACGTCAGTCCAGTTACGTATATTCCTCTCTCGGTGTTATAATTAAATGCTTACTTATTTTCGTTTTGTTTGTTTTCATGATGGTGGCAACCGTTGCCAATCATAAAACTGGCCGTTCAAAGTCAGGAAATTTTCAGTTTTGTGCCAGATAACTGGAACAGTTTGACTTAATCCATTTGACCAGTTAAGTGGTTTTCGAAAACATCCTAACAAAACACGTTGCTGACCTTTGCAGGAAATAGCATTTTAAAGCATAATTATTACATTAACCTTTAAGAAGATTTTTTAATCGTCTTGGCGTTAGCCTATTTGTTCATTCACCTAGAAAAACGATTTCTAAATGCATTCCCCCTTTCAGTGAAACAGTCATGAAAGTTTGGGACAAGGTTTCTAGTCTGACATAGAATGTATTTTGGCATTTTGGTAATTTTTTTATTTAAAACAACTGTCATATCATATTGATCGGTTGCGGTCACGATTATTTTTTGATGACATACCTAAATATATAAATTCTCTAATATCAGCTAGAAGAATCATTTGTAGTAAAATATATAAGGTGCTTGTGTCTAAGTCGAGCTTCTACAGATGAGAACAATTCGGTGATTAGAATCTGTAGCATTCATTCAAAAGATTCGAACACTTCGGCAATCCCTAGTCTTGTGCCTTTGTAATTATTTTAATAATGAATAACACAAATGAATGCATGCTCTTGTACAATATTTAGCTCGGTATCTTTCAAAGAACATTAAGAATCAGCCCCCCTTGGAATGACAATAGCCTTTCCTGTGACTAAGCATATGTTTTTATCCTTTTTGTTGGAATTAACCCACCACACACATTCACGTGCCTTGCTTTTCACCAATAGATGAAACAGCTTTTGAAGTTGGTTTTGCAAACAATAACAATGAAATTAAAATAAGAAAAAAGAAAAAATTCGATCCCGTGTCGTAAAGGAAACAATTGTTATGAAGTGCTTAAACCTTCTCGATCTGGCTGTTCTAGATTCAATGTTAGCAATCCTACAATAAGCAATCCTTAAAATAAGCAATTTTAAGTCAAATCTGTCACTAATGAAAATAATAGCTACCTTCTCTGTTCTTGGAGGGACGAATTTTCTTTCCTTCTCGCCTTCCTCTTTGGGACAGGTTTCCAAATTTTCTTTGATTTGGCAAGACTCTTCCTGGCCGTCTGAAACTTGCGGCTCATTTGGCGTCTCTGGAGATGGGGACCTGGATCTGGCAGGTGCTAGAAAAGCACTTGGTGCCCACCCCTCACAGAAATCATTCTTGACGTACCACCAACCGCTGGACTCCTTCTGTAGCACTTCAACCTCCTCGCCTTCCTCCACCGACACCTCGCCGCTTTCTTCGGCAAAGAATGACGAAATAACGACATACTTAGCCTTATTGGGGGTCATTCTCGCCAGGCTGTTTCTTGCACTAGATTGAGTTGAGATCTTCCTGGAGCGAGTCTCCTCCACCTCGGAGTACTCAGAGTCGATGGCTGAACTCTCCGTCTGTGCTGAAAGACTCTCATCTCCATCACTCTCAGACTGTTGTTGGCTTAACTCTTGTTCAGGCTTCTCTTCGTTCAACATCTTTTCGGTTTGCTTGCCCAAGTCAGCGATACCGACAGCAACACTGAATGGTCTCCTCCTTAAACCTGGCCGCTGAGTTACCACTTTTTTGTCTAAGTCGTCATCAGTGACTGAGGTCGCTCTCGGCTTACCAGGAATCATCGGGATGTCTTTACTTGGCCGTCGTTCATTCAACCTGTTCAGCTTGTGGTAAAGATGATCTCTTGCTTCCTCGCTGAGGACGTGCAGGTCCTCTGGAATCCAGGCCGAACTATACTTTGGCTTTCGCTTTACCAATGGACTTTGTTGAGGTATATCTCTGAGCGGATCTCGACCTAAAGAAAAGAGTTTTATTCGGAATCAAAATGATTTTAGATTTTTCCTTTGCACAAGAAAGTTTAATCCTTGATTTGCTTTTAAATTTGTCAAAAATCTGGTTTGATGAGTTCTTGTTTAGAGAGTTACTAGCAGTGCAATGCTGCTTACTTTTATTCCCCTTCAAGGTAGAAAAATGTATGTTTTGTCTTTTGTTATTATTGTTTGAAGTATTTTTTCCCTTACCACTTAACATTTCGGCCACTTTAGTGACTTTTTTCAGTTTTTCTTCCTCGGAGGACCTGCAGGGAAAGAATTCAGGTCAGCGCTTTATAGTTTAGATGAATTTAAAAACTTGGCGGCACTTAATAGTCTTACCTTTCAATGGTTCCATTTTGTCCATTCAAAGCACCGAAAAAATCCATGACAATTTCAGACTTTCGCACCATAGCCGGAAGAGTTAACAGTTCCTGTAATCAAACAAAAAATCCAAATTAGTATTTAGTTTGTGGAATTTGCATTGTGAGCTGTAAGATAACAGCTTTTGCCACCTGAATACTAAGATTGTTTAAGTCTCAAGAAAATACCTTGATAAACTCATCCATTCTTGCCATCTTTTTCAAATCGCTGTCTTTAAAGAGAATGCGGGATAGTGCCGAGTTGTTTTCTGCAAAGTAAACTCTTCTGATGAGTTAATGAATTCAAAGCTCACCAGGTAGGTCTTGACATTACCTAAGATTGTCATGCAGAGCATGTTACATCGATAAAAAGTCACTCAAAATTCAATCATAGCTGTACACTTCCAGCTTTCTCGATTGGAGACTGACGAATTCCTGTCATAATTTGACCATGAAAATGTAAGTAATTGACTATTATATGAATAATATATAAATTATATAGTCTTTCATATATAGACTTGTGACTACTGTTCGTTGCTGAAAAGAACTGAATTTTTTTGAGAACATCCTTGTCAGACATCCACCTAATTAATGAGGATTTTAGAACCTCGATCAGGGAAACTAAACATCGATAAACAATGAGTTATAGAGGGCGAAGTCGTTTTGTATGATCAAGTGTTCTGAAATAACGTACCTGGCAAGCTGGAAATAAGAGTTCTTGAAGTCTTTCTGGAATAGCCACCCTTTTGCTTGAGTAACTCGTAAATCTTAACCTAAGGTTGATAGAAAATATGAGTTTCTGTTCTTTTCTTTAACTTACGGGAGCCATGTCACGATTTTAGCATCTTGAAAATCTTAGCCTACATGTAAATCTACTTTGCCTACCGTTTGTCTTTTGCAGTCACTCTTAAACCTCTCTATCCTTGACCATCTTCAGTGCTCGTTCGTTTTTGTTTATTCAACCTCCCCCCTTTTGT